GCAACCTAATGTTTATAGACCTTCTTGATAATAGCATATCATTTGGAAGATAATATGTGCAATTTAATTCATGTCAGCATTTTATTTATCTAAAACAAATAGGTTGCTATTAAATATTGACTATTTTATTAACTCAGAGCATCTGGGAAAACACTTATGATTAGGTTAATTTATGTTATATTTTCCCCTCAACTTGTAAAAGATTAATCAACCATTTTATGGTCTAATTTAGGGTGCCTAATTAAAAACAGAGTTCAACACATGCTACACTGTCTTGCTAATAAATCTTGACAGCTTTGTAATGTGATGGTTTGTATTTCAAATTGTTGCATATAAATGTAGATTTTTTGATCTTCACCCAACAGCTTGGAAGTGAGTTACATACTTGGTTTAAACTCCAGGACTGAAAAAGTGCAATTACTTCAAAATGGATTATCCCCAATCAGATCTTATCTTAAATTTCCCTCAGTGAAGACAGAAACAGTCTTTGTCACTAGGTTTTTAGAAGTACACTAGAAAAATCAGGGGAAATTTTGTTTTCTCAACAGTTGTTAAATTAAGGAAAATTGCCATTTTCGGCTATTAGCCTTCAAGAGAGATTTCTGAAGTTACTGGGGTTTAGCATCCCATTCTCAAAGAATCTGCTCAAAGTGTTTGCTATAACTGTCTTATGGCTAATCAGTACAAGTTAATTATTTAGGCTTGATTTGGGGGCCCTCTTTTTTAATGAATAAATTAATTCCAAGAAGTTCTGGCACACGGCATTTAACCCTATGTCCTCCCACACCTCCCAGCTTTAAAAGGGGTAAATGGCAGAGAATAAATCTCCTCGGGAGGGACACTAGCTGTTTTCTCAGTCTCTATACTTCAGGGATATTTTTGTCATTTTAATGACTCCTTTGATTTTTACTGTCCTGTGTAGAGAAATGAAACTGCCATAGTGGTGTGATTATCCTCACTCTAGTTATAAACCTAAAACTATCCGGTTTTGGAGTTGATATTCTTTTAAAATGAGGAAGAGAGTATATAATCTGTCCAGAGATCCCTAAAGGCATGTTAGAAAGCAGCCAAGCTCTTTTATAGCAAACCCAGTTTTGGACTCGTGATATATGATAAACATCATGTTTTGGTCACTTAAGTGAGGGAGAATGGCACAGAATGATCTTTGGAGCAGGACTGCCTGTGTTGGTATATAAGCTTTGCCACTTTCCAGCTGTTTCCAAGAGGCAAGTTACTTAACCTCTCTGTGCCTGTTTCTTCGTCTGTAAAAGTACCTACTTTACAGAACTGTGATGAGGATGAAATTTGCTAATCATGTAAAACTTGAAACAGCGGCACATGGGGGAAACATTAAGTGCTACCTACCAACTTTATGAAGACACACACATACTAATGTTGGTCAATGTTGGCCACAGCATTAAAGTGTCAGCTTATTTTGTACAATCAAAAATAGAAAGGGAAGTCAGTCAAGGTGGGGAAGGAGTTTCTGCCACTGTAAAGTCTAAGGCATATTTCTGTATACTAAATAATAATTACACAATATTTGCCTAACTTGATTCCCAAACTGAGGTCTAGCAAAACTTAAGCTAAAGTCACAAAGAGAAACTTTAAAAGTTACAAATGTAATATTTGGCCATTCGCAGTTTAAATCAATATTCCAAGCCTTAGTGCACAGGCTGGGTGGGTCTTGGCATGTGTTAAGTCCCCCTGAACCACAGCCCCATATTTCCTCAAACGCTGCCCCCCATGGAACAGAAGGTAAAAGCCGGTTTCACCAGACAGCACGAATAAGCCTGCTCGTGGAGTCATCACCTGCACCTGCTAAGTTTGGGAGGCCTGACTCAAGTGAGCTGGATAATAACCTGGAAAGGTAAACCCAGAAGAGTCTTTATCGTAGACTAAAACAAACTACGGTTCCAGCGAGATGGGCAGCTCGTCCTGGCGCGTGTGATCTTTACAGCCGTGAAGGAGGCTTAGAAGCTTCCGCTCTCCGGCCGGTGGCGGAGTCAGCTCCGCGCCGCCACCTCGCTGGGCTTCATTCCACCATGACCCCTCTCCTGGTCCTGATGATGGCGTCTCCTTATGCCAAGTGGAAGGAACTGCAATCAAATTCCCAGACGTCAAGCAAATCTGGCCAGACCCAGGGCTACGGGTCAGGCCACTGGCAGGGCTGTGCATCAACCGATTAAACCCACTGAGGACGTGCAGACACAGCCCTGACCTCGGTCTCCAACAGACTACGATGCTGACCCTCGGACTCAACCATCCGTACCCAAAGTTTTTGTCCTTAATGCCTTTAACATGTCTCCCCCTCTCATGTTTGGCAGTTTTGAGGACTTGTTTAACCATGCTTCGGAATTGCAACTCTCTGGCTAATTATTATTTACACTATTCTCCAACTGGTTGCCTGACTGTAGGGATGGAGCGGGAGATACAAGGGCGCACGCCTCTGGCGAAAAGCAGGGCTTGGCGGAGCGGAGCGAGCTCCGGCGAGGGCGAAGGGTGCCCCTAGGGCACCCGATTTTAAGCTCAGCGCGGTGGGTCAGGCGTCTCCTCCTAGCGTGGTCCGCTTGAAGTTTAAACGGCCGCCTTCAAAATAACTGTGAGGTCCCCATTAATTATTTTTAATTAATTAAAAAATAAAATGAAGCAGATAGCATTAAAAAAAAATTTTTTTTTTTTCCTCCTTAAAAAGCTCCACCAATCCCGCGGTCGCGCCGGGCGCTGGGGGGGCAATCTGGGAACGCAGCGTCGGGGCCAGCTGCGGCATGTGCAGAGTGCTCGTCGGGTCGCCGGGTCCGCAGGGTCACCGCCGTGGGCCCTGTGCCTCCTGGTCCCTCCTGGTGCGGGGAAAGGGCTCGAGAGGATGATGAACCTCCGGCCTCCCCAGCCAAGCCCCCGCTTCCCGCAGGTCCAGCCGCCGCCGGGCGCGGCCGCTCGCAGCGCGGCCCCAAGAAGCGGGTCCTGCCCGAAGCGCCCCGGCTGCGCTCCCGCGGGCGGCGAGGGTTTCCAACGCGCCTCCGTTCTTTATTCCGCGCTTTGAGTCAATCAAAAGGAACGAGGCAGGTGGAGGGCAGCCGCCTAAGAGATCGCGTGAACCTTCCTGTGGGGATTTCCACAGCTTGCCTCGGGTGCTTCTAAGAGCGCCTGACATTAAGGGTTCAGTCTTTCCCTGCCAGTTCCTCCCAACCCTGGCCCCAAGTGTGTCTGATCTCAGAAAATCCCAGGCTGCCTCCGGGCTCTGGCGGGTTCCACCTGGAAGGGCGCTAGTTATAGCCTGCCACTCGGTCCCCGGAATCCTCTTCCCAGGAGCAGGGGGAGCGGCGGTGGTAGAGGCAAGAGCAACAATACAATCCATGACAATAGGCTCACAATTAGAGAGGCCCCCACGTGCTCGCCAGGCACCTGACCGCGTCAGCGCATTCACTCTTCCCAACCCTGCCAAGAGCCAGCACAGTTCCCACTGCACAGCTGAGAGCACCGAGGGCCACGCGGCTAACAAGGACGTGGATCCGGGCGTCGGATTCCTGGGCCCCCATCTTAACCACCAGTGTCCCGGGAACAGTGGGAAGGGGGACAGTCACAGCTGGCTAAATCTGAAGACGTGGGCAACTCCTGACCATAATAAAAACATTAAGGACAAAGGGGAAGGGGGAGGGGGAGGCTGAGAACGGATCAGCTTTAATCCGCGGGGTCAGCCCCCTTTTATTCTCCATCCCATCCGGTCCAGAAAGTGGGGTGGAGACAGAGAGAGGGGTTCAGTTCGTTTCTCTCCTTTTGTTTTTCTGGAGTCTCCAGCCTATTTGAAGATAATCGTGCCGGAGGAGTGTTGGGGGCCCGAGGGAGTCGTGTTGGCGGTGGTGGTGACCAGAGAGAAGGGGTGGAGGTCGGGCCCTGGGCACCAGGTCGAGGCAGTGTCCGGAGGCCGGAGTCTGGAGACCCTTGCCCACCCGCCCGTCGCCCGAAGCTCGATCAACCCAATAACTCACCCCGAAGACCAGTAGCTGCGGGAAGTGATGGGCAGAGGTCGTGATTATGACCCCGGGGTCGCTGTCCCTTTGGAACCTGACCCACAACCCGACTCCAGAGCAGAATTTCCGGAAGCCGCGACCCCGCAGCAACCTTCCTTTCTCAATCAATGGGCCCCGAATAGCCTTCGCCACCGACGTTAATGGGACCGCGGAGACACGCGTCCTTGCCCTCACCCCCGGCACCGAGGGCCGGCAGGCGGAAACCCGCGGGCAGTGCCCGGGGCGCCGCGGAGCCTTCAAAGCCGCGCGCGGCGCCCGCCCGCTGCAGTGCGCGCCTCTGCCCGACAGGGACCAGCACAGCTCCACGCTCCGCGCGTCGCCCGCCCGGCGGAGGGGCCCGGCTACCCGCCAGCTCCCCCTCCCCAGAGTGTAGCGGCTCTGACTCCCGCCGGGCTCCGGCAACAAGGCGCACTGTGACGGAAAGTTAACAGACTCCGCGGCCTTTCCGGGACGCCGTCGCCCCCACCCCAGAGCCGCATCTGGGGAGCAGAAGCGGCTCCAGAAGTTGGGTTAGGGCGGAGGCTGCGACCAGGCGGGCGCACAGCACTCCTCCCAGCTTCCCGGGGCCCGCGAAGAAACCTTAAAAACGAGCAAAAAAATACGATTCGTATGGGACACTGCCACGGCGAGAGGGGAGCTTGCTTCGCTGAGCACAGCCCCAGTCGCCGCCCCGCCTCTCCGCGGCGAGGCCGCCTGATTAATTCCAGGGCACCACGGACCACGGGGCGGCCGGCGCTCTGCAAGGAGTCTCTGTGGCTGTGGCGGGAACGGAGCTGGGCGCACCCGGGACCGCGCCCGGGAGGGATGCGCGGCGCGGGGGGCCGCGCCGGGCGGTGGTTTCTCTGACCCAAGCCCCGCCCCCGGTGGTCCGAAGCTGTACCCCTGCCACCTCCCCCTCCTACGCCACGTCTCCCTTCGCTCACGGTCTGGATCCAGGCCGGAGTCCCTGCGCCCGGCGGGGAAACTCACCGGTACCAGGCGAGGCCCTTGTCGTAGCTGCGGTCGAAAAAGTGGGGCTCGGCGCCCACAGCGCGCACGTCGGGGTGCACGCGCAGGAACTCCAGCAGCGCCCGCGTGCCGCCCTTCTTCACGCCGATGATGATGGCCTGCGGCAGCTGCTTGCTCCCGGATCCGCTAAAAAAGCTGGAGATGGGGCTGGGGGAGTCCGGCGCCTCGGGACTCTGCTCCTCCGGGCTCGCTGCGCCCTCGGCCATCTCCGGGCCCACAGCCAGCGGAGTGGCCGGCGGCGCCCGACACGGCAGCCTCGGGGGCGTCCCTCCCGGAGCTGTGGCCAGGGCTGGCGGGGCGTGTGCCGCGCGGGACGAACCCAGCAACAGCAGCCCCGGCGCGGCGGCGCAAGAGCCGGCGCACGAGTACAGGAACATGTAGAGCCAGACGCAAAGCATGGCGAAGAGCAGCGCGAGCTTCCTCCTCACCGGCGGCGGGGGCGGCGGCGGCTGCGGTAGGAGCCGGCCCGGGACATCGAGGCAGGATCGGCCGCCGCTCAGGCGCTGCCCCATGCGCTGCCCGCGGGCGCGGCCAGGAGCATGGCTCAGCACATGGCGCGGGTCCCGCCGGAACAGTGAGCGCAGAGAGGGTCCCCCGGCCCGCCGGACGCCCGGGTGGCTCGGTCTATTGCCCCCGCGTGCCCGCAGCCGCCGCTGCTGCTGCTCTTCCCCAGGTGGCGGCGGCAGCTGGAGCGGCGGCGGCTTGTGACATGTTGCCCGGGAGGAGGAGACGCAACTGGAACGGAAAGTCGGGGCGGCGGCAACTGCTGGCCGAAGGGCTGCTCCTGAGGCGCGACGACCCGCTCGGGGCCAGGAGAACGCTGCGCTCCGGCGCCCTGGCCACTCTAGACGGTGCGCACCGCCGCACGCCGGGGCTGCCTCCTCGCAGTCCTGAAAACCGAGCCTCGAGAGCAGCCCCGGCACTTCCCCGCAGAGGCTGCGGAGGAGAACTGCGCAGGAAGAGAGCCGGAGACCGAGGTGCAGTGGGCGGGCCTGGCCCTCAGAGTGACGGGCTGCTCCACCTACCAGAAACCCCGAGCCCCATGCAAATGCCGGCGCTTAGCTGAACGCTCAGCAGCCAACCCGCTCCCGGGACGTGGGGGTGTGGAACGGGTTCGGGGCGGTCTAGAACGGCCGGGAGTTTCTATTGGATGCAGGAGAAGGGGCGGGTTCCTGGGGGGCGGAGCTAGAGGCTGGTGACAGGAGCAGATGGTGGGAAGAATGCCGCGGTGACCGAGCGCGGGGAGACGTCCGACCCCAGCGAGTGCTGCGCTCCTGCAATCGCGCACATTTCCTCACTAGCTCCACAGGAGCCAGCCTCGGCTGTAGTTGCCCAGATGTCGAGACACGAGTCCGCATCCAGATGCTTCGCGGGCGGGCTCGGGATTTGTACGTGTTGCAGAGCAGGGAGGGGGTTGGGGGAGGGCGAGCAAGGCCGGAGACGCATTCGGCCCCCGAACCCGCCCCTCCCACGCCGGGACTGGGGGATGGGGGGCGGTTTCCGGGACAGGCACCGGTTTAGGAAGTTTAAGTGGAAAGCACTTTTGGAAATCCCTGTCCACTACCCCCGCCACCCATCTTTCCTTCTACTTATTCTTTTCCAGGTGTTGATCTTCCTCGGCCTGCCGGTTAACTGGGGTCGAAGTAAACTGCCCGCAAGAAAAATCTTCTCCACTCTCCCAAACTGCCGAAAATAGGTTGGGGGGGGGGGGGGGGGGGGGGGGGCGGAGAGAAGGGAGAAATCAACAGGGACACAGAATCTGGTTAAGTTTCCTGGTCGAAACGCGCGCGCGCGCGTGCGTGTGTGCGACGTGCAGAAAGTTTTATCTGGATACGAGTTTGCTGGAGACGCTAGGTTTGAAAAACTTTATCTTCCCTTTTTCCTGAATGAATACGAAAGCCATAATTCGCCCTCATTTGGAAGACAATGGTTTGCTGACCTGTGACACTGATTATTAGGTATTGTCTTTCGCCACTGATTTTTTTTTTTTAAGTCAAACATCTACTGGAAAGAAACCCACCACGGAGCTGCACTTATTTAATAGTCAAAGTCCATCGAAGCCTCCCTCCCCTCTTTTTCCCGGCAAAATGACCTCCCCCGGGGCGGGGGCGGGCAAAGGCGTCTTCCAGGGAACTGTAAACGCTCCCTGGGGAGAGCGCGGGCGAGGGGTGCTGCGCGAGGCTGAATTCTTGCCCGCCGGCGTTTGGAGTTCGGAAGCTCGAGATCAAGTTCATCCCGGTCGTGTTGAAAGTTCTCGCTGCCCGCAGCCCAGCCTCTGCGGGGCCAGCCGGCCTCCAACGCCCGGCTGCGCGCGGTTCCGGGACAGAACGTTCCTTCCGACCCCGACCCCGGCGCGGCCCCCGGGGCTGAGAGTCGCCCACGAGGTGACTCACCCGGAGCCGCCGCCCGCTCTGGATGTCACCGTAGGCGCAGGCGGGCGCAGCGGAAGCGACCTAAGCCCTGGTGCCTCGACCACGCAGTCCAGGAGCAGCCGCCGGCAGCCGGCCCGGCTCACGCGCCCTTCCTAAGGGAACGGCCCGAGTCCCCGCAGCCCCATCCCGGGCCCGGTTCCCCTCCGGCGGGAGCAAGCTGAGAAAGCCAGTGTGACTCTAGCGCCTCCGGTTCTAAATTGTGCCCGAGCAGCGGGGGTGACCACGGAGGGCTCGGATAGCCCAGCGGCCGCCACGGGACCCACGCTCCCGGCCGTGCTGCGGGCGACCTCTTTGTAATTCCCTTGAGCCCAAGACGTTTGCCTCGAAAACGGATGAGAGGGAGGGAATGAGGGCAGAGGGTTTTCTTCCTCCTTAACTTCCTTCCGGCTTTTCTTTCCCTCTCTTGCTGCCCCGTTGTGTTCTTCGGACGTGGCTTATTCGCCCTTAATTTTTCGCTTAAGCGATAGATGGAGTTAAGCTTCTCAAACATGGGAACAAACATTTTTGGGCACTCGCCTGACTCTAATTGGAAATGTGAGAGGGAAAATGTGTGTCTCTGAAGGGTGTGTCTTCAAAGTCACTATATTTAGGTGGGAAGTTCATGCATGTAGGTGTGTGTTTGGCGAATTGTAGCTCCCACGTGGCTGACTCCAGGGCTAGTTGGGTGCGCATCTTACAGTGTCTTCAGGACTTTGGTCCTCCTAATTTTAAAAAGCCTCTGCCCTGAGTGTCAGCGAAGTCCAGTAAGTGAGCGATTAGGAAGCGCAGCCGTTGAATATGCTTGGCGTTTCTTTGTCCAGGGAGGGAGGGAGGGAGTGAGGAAGGAAGGGAGTGGAACCAAGATGTGGGCGTCGGAAATTGTCCTGAATGCAGCGCGGAGCTGAGCGCCCCTGAGCTAAGTTTCCGGCTGGGCCCACCAGCCGTCGGTTCAATCCCCACTGTCGAGAACCATGGGAGAGCTTCGGGGCTCGCAACGCCACGGGGCCTCCGCCACCCGAGTTCGGCTGGTCATCCGGTGCACAGGCGAGCTGAGAAGCGGCGCCAGAGCAGGGCCTGGGCCGCAACCCAACGCTTGGGCCCCGTCGTGCACGCGGCGGGCCCTCCCATTGCCCTCGGGAGCCCCGGGCTGCCCCTGGAAATCCCCACACGCTTCGGTCGCTCTGGCAAGCACCATCTCTCGCACGGTCCCATTCCGCAGATGCGGAGCCCGAGGCTGAACCCTAGACGGAACCGGTAGCCAAACTGATTGTGAATTTAAGCCTCGGCCAAACCGACAGAGAGGTTTACCTCTGATAAACTCATTCAAAAAAAAATTTTTTTTTTGGTACTGGGAAAATAAAGAAAAGAGAGAATTCAATTTCAACACACCTGTAGGGTTTGTGTTTTATTTTGGTTTGTGTATTTGGAATTACCTAACGGTGTGCGCCCCTAGGGCCTCCCTAATCTTGGGAGGCAACGTCTCTCCTTCCCTTCTTCCCCCGGAATCTGCTGCCAACACCCTGCTGTGCGACCCCAGTCGGGTCACTCGCTGGCCCTAAGATTTCACATCTGTAAAATGGGGGACTTGAGCCAAAAACCCTCCGCGATATTTTCCGCCCGAGGTTTCTCCGAGTCGAGGCTTGGGATGGGAGGCCCCGCAGCTGCTCGAGCCCTCCGGCCCACCCCGCCTCACCACGGCGGACTTCCCGGTCCCCGTCCCCCACTACCCGCTGCGGGACCGCAAAGCAGGCATTTCCTGGGGCCGCCTGAGCTCGTGGCACAGAGCCCCAGTTCCTGCCGCCGGAACCCAGGCCCTCGTCGCGCGCCCCCAGCTCAGCGAGGCGGCCCCTCGGGGGTAGCAGCT